TGATGCAAATTGATTGTTGTCGGTAGCTTTCTTATTGAATTGAGTAAAGAAAAAGAAGAATACAATGGTTACACAGCTTTCGAGAGGCTGGTTCTCTCCCTAGAGAGCTTGTGCTCCTTTTCAAACTGACAAAACAGAATGCCACACCTCTAACCAACTTCCCCATTATAAAGGCTGTCACAAATATTCTATTCAGAAGAATACCCAAACTACCCTCCAACTACCCTCCACTTACTTACAATTAAACTATTTAAATCTTCTTTTATATGTGAAACGTACAGTAGGCTTATCAGTATATTCATTATCTGAAATTGCAACATCAGTTGGAAGTAACAGAATGAGGACTTGGTCAGCTTCTCAATGAACCAAATTGCACCATACAATACAATGCGAAATTCTACTTGTAAATGCTTAGTTGCTGAGGGTCAAGTGGCTTCTAATCTCTTGACAGTAGTGTACATAGTCTTAAAATCTGTGAATGTGCTCCCCTGGTGTGTAGCTATGTTGTTATATTAAGTCTAAATTTTAGACTGGTTGTTGGTTCCTTTTTTCATGTAGCATTATCAAGTCTATTATGAATTGATGATATATTATTGCATATGAACTCTTCTTTTGAGTTATATTCTTGATGTTCTGTTTGTAATTCAGTTGTGGGCATCATATGTAAGTGATAGTTGGTAATGCTGATTTAGGAGAAAAAAGGTTAATGGCCGTCTATCAGTTTAATAGTTATGAATTCTGTGCTTCATTTTGTTCTCATCCCTCCTTTACAGGTAACTGTTGTCAATCCTGCCATGGACAGAGTACTGTCACTCTTGCAAAAGTTCGCTCTTGATGCTCAAAAGGGTAAAATTCCGAAAGATAAATTACGATTTGGTGCCCCATGGAGGCACCCGCCAAATAAGGACGACCCTTGCCTGCGTTCAGAATGGGCTAAGCTTCAACTAATGGATTTCATCCAATCTTTAGTCAATGCAGAGTTTGGGGTACATCTCTCTTTCATCTTTTTCTGTCTTCCCTTTATTTTTGGGGGGAAAGTTGGATCATTAAAAAACGGCGTCCACCTGATATTGGCTCTTTCAAACTCAATGTGGACGGTTCCGCTATAAATGGATTCATAACAGGGGGTGCCCAATCCCAAAATTAGTTCTATTCATTGCTGAAGAGTATACATTAATACATATATCAACTGACCAACATTTTGTTACTATTCTTTCTTAAGTAAGCCATCAGTTGCTATTTACCTTTAAAAAGGATGTTAGAAGTAGTAACTTTTGCTTGACTTGTATGATCGTGCTTGGACTAGCCCACTATTTAGTCTAACCACCATGGTTGTGAGAAAACCTTAAAGAATAGGTTGCCTGTAAATGTGGTTCATATTAACAAACATCTGAAGTTATTAAGGGGATGTTTCGATTTATGAGTGTGCATGTTTATAGTTGCTAGATATTATCCAAGGTTCTCTATATCTTCTAATTCATTGCAGTAAACATGTGCAGATTAATTATTTTTCTGATTGTAGTCTTGAGATCTTTGATGATCCTTCTGTTAACGCAATGATTGAGGTACTTTTCATTAGTTCATTTTCTTCTTTAAATTTATCCTTTATATCTATTATCTCAAAAATGGTGTTTAGTAGTGTTGTCATAGTTGGATTCATGTCAAAGATCATCATTGATTCTATATTTCTATAAAAAGCTTCATATCAGCATGCTTTTTTATCGGACCTCTTTAGTGTTACAAATATTAATACCGTGGTTTTAAATTCTCCAACTTCTCAGGTTGGTTTACTCTACGTCCAACGTGATCCATCCTTCTTTCGCCCAATATCTGGTGCTATTCAGAGATGTCTTGTGAGATGGTACAATTATATGTCTTCATGTCTGGAGTCACTTTGAATGCAGCGAGAACTTGCTTATGCTAACTTACACATATCTTGCAGGCTTGTCCAGGAGAGAATTCAAATGAGCTTTAAAAATTCACTCCTATTTCAGTGGCACCGAGTTGTAAGGGGACGTAGCTATCGTCATCTCTTGTTGCAAGTAGGCAACAAATAGAGTTCAAGGTATGTGGACTGTTACACTCTCTGTCCCAAAATAAATGTCCACTGTGAAAAAACCACAAGGTTTTAGAACTGTGCAACTATTACACTTTTTTAATCAACTAATTGACAATTTTACTCTTAATAATAAAGGGAGCAACGAATATCTCCACCTCCATAATTAAGGGTAAAATTTGGAGAGTAGGCACTTTGAAAAGTGGATACTTATTTTGGGACAAACTAAAATAGAAATGGGCACTTATTTATTTTGGGGTGGGGGATTATTTTCTTTATTCTCCATCTTGTGGCCAGTTGTGGGTCCCATCTTTATTTCTTCAAATGTCAAGTAAACGAGACCCATAAGCACGTTTTCGTTCTCTTCACCTCATAGAAATAGGAGAGTAGATGCGGACCTAGAATTATTTTCAAGTTGTGGCACCATTTGACTATAAAAAACAAAGCTATGGATTTTTTAACAAAATCATCATCTGTTTGTTGATTAGTTCCTTGCTTTTTGTATGTGAGGCCCTATGTTCAAGTCTTTTATCTCAATTTTTTAATAATAAACATGAAATTAAGAGAGAAAAACTAAGAATGATACAAATGGGATTCGAACCCGTGTCTGGAAGGGGAGAAAAAACCGTGCAAACCAACTTTATCAAGAGAAACTTGTGTTATTGTAGTTTCAAGAAATATATGGTTGCACCMAGCGAAATAACACCGTGAACAAAGCGGTGGCCCGTGCCACCGTATGCACCATAGTCGGTCCGCCCCTGAATAGGAGCCAACAAATGGAAATATTGTTTATGCAATGTGCCAAGTCATCTGCAACTAGTCTTGCTATCTAGGTTTTGGAAATCTCTTTTATACATTGAAACCATAGAGTGGTTTCTTATGGAATAACCGCAGTCTGGTTTCAGTTTATGCAGATCAATGCTGATTCTCTTGGTGGTGGTGCTTCCTCTCGAGCCTCAAGTTCTAAGTTCTAACAGTAAGTGGTGGTTGAAAACTAACCTTTTAATTGAACCCGATATTGAGATGTGGATATGCTTGATGGCCTGTTTTCATTTTTGTTTTAGATGAATATAAGAAATTTACGTAAATAAAGAGAAGTAGTACACACATCGAAAAAATAAATAAATACTGACCTCCATCCCAAAATAAATGTCCATATTGGAAAAGGCAAAAGATTTTAGAAATTAATCAACTAAATGACAATTGTACCCTTAATAATAGAGGGAGGAATGAATTTCTTCATCTCATAATTAAGGGTAGAACTGGAAAGTAGACACTTACTTTTGAAAGTGGGACACATATTTTGGGACAAACTAAATAGAAATGTGGACACATATTGCAGTTCAAACATGGGTTTGATTCACACTCCATGTTCTGAGAAATATTTACCATCCGTGAAGAGGAAAAATGGAGTCTTTGTCTAAAGACTTGCATTGAGAAAAGCACTTTGCCATTTGATCCGATAGTGTTCCGTCAGATAGGAACATATCTGATAAAAACTATTAATCATATTTCAAATGCTTTTAACTGAAACCTCACAAAATTTGCATAGTGATTTCCTTTTAACAATCACTCATTGATGCAAGAAAAACGATTGTTTTATTAGAATAAGGTAAAACTGGTCCATGTATTTTTTACCTTGATTTATGCTTCATTTGATATCTTGCTATCTATATTTTGGTGTTGTCAGTATTCCATGAACAGATGCTTTCAGAAGCTTCACCGTTGACCTCAGGATAAGAACTCAAATGATGTAAGACACCATCCTCCATATGAAGTTTCCCCCCGTATGTGTGTGTATGTATAAATGTGTGTGTGTGTATATATATATATATATATATTCAAATGAACTCTGTAAATAGTTTGAGAACCTGAGAGCCAACTATTCATGTTTTATTCATGATGGATATCGTGATAGCTATCCATGCTCAAATTATTCTTAGTGAAAATGCATGATATTCATGATTATTGGGGTTATTCATCATGAACACTACATGATATGCTTCCAGGTATTCAAAAATATTTATGGTTCTTATTTGAAATTTCCCCATATGTAGGGTTATGTTCCGGTGAGATTAAGAGTTATTATGAGAATAGTGAGAATACATCCAAACCATTGGAGGAGTTGATTTTTTAATCTAACGGCTAAAAGAATCGTAGATCTTCAACTGATTGCTGACAAAAAACATGGAGCTTCAACTACTTTCATCAACCACAATCTTCACTTTCAATCATTTTCGCGAAGTTTTCCTTATCTTCAATCACTTTCATATGCATGAATTTGTTAAAGTTTCAGCCATGGTGATAGAACATAGGTCAATGAAGGTAGATGAAGGTTTTGTTTTAACATTCTTATCATAACTCTTATTCTCACACAATTCCATGTTATATATATATATATATATATGGAGGTTCAGCGGAAAACCCCCGAAAGATGAAAAACTAGGAACATTCTATGCACCATTCATCTGGACAATATGCACATGTGCCAAGTAATCAAAGTTGTTTCTTGGTTTTTATGCATGTGTGCATGTTATGAACATGTCAATACGAGGCAAATTGACTTGTAAGCACATGTGCATAGCATACAAATTGTTACTAGGACGTTTCTCAGTTTTTCAATTTTTTGCATATTACCATATATATACCTGACACTGATATATATATATATATATATATATATATATATATAGGGACTTGTCAATTTTTTAACCTAATAATTGGTGTTAACTATGTAAACTATGGATTAAATTCATCAAAGTATTTTTGTAATAAATTAAAAAAGGATGCTTAATAAACATAGGTGAACAATCATAAACAAATGGTAATTTTGGAAAAGATTAGGGATATTTCTTTTAGCATTAATTACTTTTTCGGTAAGTACTCCATCATTTCCAGAATTACCCTTTGTTCATGGTTGTTCACCTATGTTTGTTAAGCATCATTTTTTTAATTTATTACAAAAATGTCCTGATGAATTTAATCCATAGATTTCAAAAATTAAAGACTGTAATTGATTCACATAGTTGACACCAATTATTGAGTTAACAATTGAACAAGCCCGTGTTTATAATGTGCATACAATTTGTATGCAATTTGTCCGGTATGCCCCTATGCATGTGCATAGCATGCACACGTGCATAAAAACCAAGAAACAACTTCGATTACTTGTATGCACATATGAATACTGTCCAGATGAATAGTTACCAGGTTGTTCCTTCATTTTTCATTTTTCGGGGTTTTCTCCCAACCTCATCACCTCAACACTCCCTCTCTCTCTCTCTCTCTATATATACATTCACACACACACACACACACACACACGACGTTTATTGTTGGGTTCATCTCTTTAACATTATTCGCTGTGCTTGCAGATTTCGTACATTCAAATCTGCTGGGGTTTAACACAGATTGTTACATATTAAAGTGTAAGTCCTACTGAAACAAGCATATAGTTCCAGAATACGGAGATAAAATGGCCCTGCAAATATGGCTGCACCTGTAATAGATTCGGGATTTTGCGCATGACTCCTGGTGATGAGTCGAGCTCTGGCTCTAGCAAGCCACACTGTAAAACCCGATTTTTGATCGGAAGACTTTACAGAGTAGTTGACATAAATTATTTTGTGGGGTTATGTTAATACCTACAATTTTGATCAAAACAAATAAAGCTGATTTATATGAGATTGTAATGGAACTCAAAATGAATCACACACACGTGACCTATTGAAGTTGCAATGTTGTCTAACTCTTAATGATATTTAAACCTATATCGGTACGGGTTAGTTGTTTTAAAATGTAAATCAATTATGAGGAAGCGTTTGGTTTGCGAAATGGAATTTGGTGGAATTGGAATCCGTTCAAGGAATTTGATTTTGAAGGAACTGGAATGGAATTCCACTCACACTTTCGGTTGGGAGGATTTGTAATGGAATTATAGATGGGTGGCGATTGTGACAACAACGAGAGAGGTGGTGGTGGGTAGCGGCAGTTGTGATGATGACAATAATATTGTGGTGGCGGTGGTGGTTGTGGTGGTGGGGGTGAGGTGGGATGGGTAGCCGTTGTGACTACGGCTATAGTGGCATGTGGTGGCGAAGGCGGTGTTTTGTAGGGGTGGGATGACTTGTAACAATGCTAAAATGTATTAAAACTTATAATCCAAATACACTTTAAACAGGTTATAACACATTCAACCTCGTTTTTGGAAATAATTAAAATAATATATCTATCTTCTCAATATTAACTTCTAGAAATTTCTTTAAATTTCTAGTAGTTAATATTGAGAAGATAAATTTGGAGATTCTACATTTTCTCTATTTTAGTGTACAAGTTAAAATAGCCGTTAGACATAGTTGCTAAAGATACATAGTTGTTCAAATCTAAGGAGGAATAAAAGTTCCCTAGTGGCCATGGAGGTTCAAATGCGGTGACTCCGGGCTATCTGCAAAGCAGGTGGTCGCCCTGAGATTAGTCAGCTCGCACAGCGGGTTGGATATCCTTATTAATAAAAAACAAATACAATGTGTTCAAGAAAACCGAAAAAGTTTCTCAAAATCTACTAAATAAACTGAAAAAGTCCATGGAAATCAATCAAAAAACTTAAAAAAATCTCTCAATACAGTGGAATTTGGCTAAAAACACATTTAACTTGTGCCTAAAATATAGTCTTATCTTGCTTAAAAGATCAATTCCATTTGGAAAAATATGTTTTATTCTTCAAACGACACAATTGACTGTTCCCAAATTTAAACTACATTGACTTTTTTGTATGATCAAACTACGACTCTACAGATATTTGATCCACCTTAAATGTGCACCCGCTCAAAAAAAAAAAAAAAAATGAAAATGTGGCTTTTCATAAATAATATCCCACCAAATTTGGTGATTGTTACAAATATAGAGTAAACTACATTTTTGGTCCTTATGGAATGTTACAAATTTCGTTTTTTGACCTTATCGTTTGTCTATTACAATGGTGGTCACTGTAATTTGCATTTTCTTTCGGTTTTGGTCCTTACATGAACGAAACCTAAACATAAATGGTTTGTGCATTTTGGAATTTGTTAAATTTTAACCCAAAAAAACTTCTAAAATCAAATATTCTCTGTTTTTTTCCCATTGTTTTTGTTGTTGTTCTTGTTCTCCTGTTTAGGTTAGTTGTTGTAACGATTAACGATCCATTATTTACTAACAGAAAGCAGTGTTGGACCTATGAAGGCACCAACAGAGTCCTGTGCATCCGTTTAACTGATTTTCACTAGAAGATTATTTTTTGGATATGAAAGGTGCACATGCTAAACTTTAAGGCGTGTTTCACAATATTAGAAAATACAGAAGACATAAAAAAGACCGAAAAAGTCCTCGGAATTAACATAAAACGAAAAGGTCCTTCGAAATCAATCAAAAGACCAAAAAATTTGTTTGAAATCAACCAAAAACTTAAAAAATATATCGGAATGCTGGAATTCACCTAAAAACACATTGAGACTTTACATTTCTTTAATTCACGTTAATGCACTCGACAAAAATCATCGGCCCGTCACTGACAAAACGATTTTTTATGCTATATAGTTTGGTTGAAGACAACATTCTTATGAAATGTTTTGTCAGCCCATTTGGTTGGAAATGAACTTAGAGACCGTTTATCAAATACTTACCTGATAAGTGCTTATCAATAAATATTAACACTATTATTTACTTACCGGGTAAGATTTTAGATCCCCAAAACGATATCGTATGCAACAATTTATCCAGTAAGTACTTACCGTGGTAAGAGTCCTCGCCCTCACTTACCGGGTAAGACTCTTGATCCTTGTCTCGTTTTTACCGGGTAACCTATATATTGAATTTGATCTGAATCCTTACAGAAATAACTGATATCAAATTGAATAAGGTTATTTTATTTATGAGAAAAGTCTATAAAAATCCAATGGACTTTTATGTCTTAATTGATTAAGTCCTTGGATAATTTATGGAAAAAGTCTACAAAACGATTCATCTCTTATTTTTATATTCGTTCGGATGGTGACGACGACCAATATAACAGTGGTTGGGTGGGACTGCGACAAGGTTGGTGATGGTCGATTGTATTGGGATGAAGGGAACACGCGGTTTATCAGATAGGGTTTTATCATGCAGTTTTTTTAGTATTTATTTAGATTCATCAATCCGACATAGGAACTGGAGGGAATGGATCTCAACCAGAAATACGATACTTTGTCAGGTCTTTTCTAATGGATGACCCTCGAAACCATAATCTGTTGATATACGGACCTTGTTGGAGCTTTAAGAGATAGGAGGCTTCAAACACTCGCTAAGTTCTCACGCTGTTTTCGGGACCCCCAAAACTGTCGTCTGTAGCTCCGTTTTCTTCGAATAGAAAGCATAGTAAATTTTAATTTTTACCAGTTAAAAAAGGTTATAATGTTACAGGTGACTTTTCTAAGTAATAAGGACTTTTGTTTTCATTCATTTCGTAAAGTTCAAAAACCGAACCACAAGGGTGGTGCCTGATTAGTTTGAGTTTGGTCTCCAAAGGTCAAAGTGTCTGGAGGTCTCAGATTTAAATCCAAGGAGAAATAAAAATCCCCTTGTAGCCACGAATGTTCAAATGCAGTGACTCCGGTGTACCCACAAAGCATGTGGTAGTCCTAGTATTAATCGGCTCGCATAGCGAGTTGGATATCCAGGTTAATAAAAAAAAGGTTAAAAAACCGGACAACCCAAGTTTTTTTGACATCCCTAAAAAAGGTTTTGAAAGTATTTAAAAATTGAACCACAAAGGTGGTGTCTGATTGGTTTGAGTTTGGCTCCAAAAATCAAAAGTATCAGGAGGTCTCAGGTTCAAACCCAAGGAGGAATAAAAATCCCTCTGTGGCAACGGAGGTTCAAATGCAATGACTTCGAGCTATCTGCAAAACAAGTGGTCGTCCTGAGATTAGTCGGCTCGCATAACGGATTGGATGTCCAGGTTAATAAAAAAAGTATTTAAAAATTGGTCATTCCAACAAGATTTAAAAAAAAAATTGAAAAATCGTGTTTTTAATTTTCTAAAATCTGCAAAAAGACGACTTTGCCACTTTGAGAGCATTTAAAACATGGAACCAAATATATCCACCGTTTGACTCCGTCTGTCTGCCGTGATTTATGGTTTGGATACTTTTCCATTCAATTGCATTTATTCCACAACCTTTTTATTTTTATTAAATTAAAAAAAAAATAGAATAAAATTCAATTTTGGTCACTAATATATTTGTAATATTATTTTTAAACTTCAAAAATTTATGGGTCATTTACCAAACACTTATCCGGTAAGTGTTTACCGGTAAAATTTAACACTATTAATTACTTACCGGATAAGATTTTAATCCATCAAAGCGATATTGTATGCAACAATTCACCCGGTAAGCGCTTACTGTGGTAAGAGTCGACGCCCTCACTTACCCGGTAAGACTCATGGTCCTTGTCTCGCTTTTACCGGGTAAGATTCTTAATCCTTACCATATTTATCCGGTGAGGTGATGTGACTTGGTAAGCGCTTATCCGGGTAAGTGTTTGGTAAACGGCCCCTTAAATTTGGCCATTTATGTTTGTCAATTTCTAATGGTTTTGGTCTCTCTGTCTAGAGTTAGTTAACTTTTTCTGTTAAATCTAGTTAAATAAATTTAATTTTATATTAAAAATTAAAGTTGGAATTGTAAAAGGAAAAAACAAAAAGATTACCACAACCTTTCGTTTTTCTTTATTTTTTGTTTTACAATAAATTTTTAAAATATGATTATTTTAATATATTAATAATAGTGAAAATAATTAAAATGTTTCTTATTTAATTGGACTTAACGGAAAAAATTAACAATCATTAGATAGATGGATCAAAATCATACAAACATGAAGTATCAAATCTGAGTTTTTGGAGTTTAACATTTGGAACCAAATTAAACTTTACTATAATATACTAGATTGATGCTTGCATAATGTATCGAGATATATCTCGATTTTAATGTTTCGTTTTATTATTTATCTATGTCGATATAATACATGTTTTAGAGGTTTTGAGAAAACAATAATGTTTTTATTTTTGAATAAAATGTAAATTTAAATATATCATAAAAGTTTGGAAAAAGATATTGATATTAATATCAAATTTACTATTTAAAGTTCTAGTTTTTTGTGTAATTTCTTTAATTTAATAATTTAATTT